TTCACGTTGTTAGGTTGATAAGGGGGCACGGTAGCAAGGTAATAATATCTACAAGTATTTCAACTTCATAGAAACGGCCGAAACGCGAACTATACCTACGCGCCCGATGTCGGGACGCGCTCGGGACTCACACAGACGTGGCTGTACCGCAGTGACGAACGGACGGTGTGTTGTCTTTTATTTAGAAATCAGCTCGAGTACATTATTTAATATGACGAATAGGAAATATTGTGCTGTTATTATGTTTGGTTGCATGAATTCGTCAATAACGCATCCAGACATAAGTTTTTTTTAAATTACCTGGAAACTCTGAAAGTTAAGACTATAAAATAATTTTACTTACTAGTAGCCTAGGTAGGTACATAATGTGTGTCTTTATAGATCATTATTTCCAGTTATCTCACGAAAACAGATGTTTGAATTTATAAATAATATGAATAAAGTTATTGAGACGAGTGAAATAGGTAGTTATAGGCGGTTCTGGTTCTGAATGAATCATGATACGTTAGGTACCTACCTACTTACGCTTGTGTTAAAACGGTTCATGTATGTTTTGTTAGTTTGTATAATTCAAAGTAGAGAGTGTGGTATTTTATTATTAATAATATTTGTTTATTATCTGCGTTTATGAATAATACTAGAAAATATTTAATAACAACAATAAAACAGCTAGACTCATGTAATATTTTGATGTTTGAGGGTTGTGATTTTAGAACATTCGTAGTCAGCTGTTCAGTTCGGCATTAGTGGCCAAAGAAATTTTGTTTGTTTATTTATAAAAAGCACTTTATTTGTTTATATAAAAAAAGGATATTTACAATCACAAAACTAAATGGAAACAGAAAGTAGACAAAGGTAATTAAAATACTGGAGACGAGCAGCCCTAACGCATGTTTACGTACCGCGCGGCTGTAGGTATTTATTTCTTTCAAGCGGCCGAGTTACAATACTGTATGATATTTATACTGTGACGGTAGTGCCCCCGCCAAGTCGAGTAAAAACAACAGCCATACCATCTTTTTCTCAAAGTAACTCAGTCCATTTTAAACCACCCGGAAATATGTGCAAGAACTAAATAAAAACAAAAATCAGTACATTAATCAACTTTATATTTATTTTTAACAAAAAAAAGTAACGGTTTTGTTGCTACTTAAACAAATAGTATTTGGGTACCTAGGCGAAAGAGATGTTTCTACAAAATCAATTCAAATTAACATAATAGGTAGGACCTACCATGTTCATTTTTTTTACAGTTGCTAAGGTTAATTTAATAACATCAATCGGCTTTCATAAAGCCGATTTTCAGCCCACCGTGCGCCGCCGTGTAGTGTGCGTGCTGTGCGCAGATCTGTGAAATGACACCCTCCACACACCCATCGCGCGCTTCCTCCAGTACGCAAATGTAGTTTTTTATGTCTAATATCATTTCCTATGGACGAAAATGGCACAAATTTCAGTTTTAGGTGTGTCATGATTTATGAAAATTAATAAAGTCAACTTTAATAATTTTAATTTTTTTTAATCTCATTTAACTTGGGAACGCAGAATATTTGAATATTTCAAAATCGCGTGGTCTAATTTGACACAAAATTGAATGATATGGTATTTTAAATGACCTTTAACTGGATTTAATTAATTTTGTTACTTGTAGTTTTTTTTCGCTATGTTATTTACCTTTTACGTTTTGGATGTGTAACGCATGTTGCAGTGCACGAAAATGACACAAACTCGACTGGCACACAATTTATGCTTTTTAATGGTCGATACAATGATATTTTCAAACATAAATTTTATTTTAGTTGGTTTAAATTCGAAATAAAAAATTTTACTATGTTGCATCGAATAACTCAAATTGCAAGAACGAAAAGTGACACAAAACACCACAGAAGCTTTATAATTACACACTGAACACATGTGCAAAAAATTATCAACTTTAATATTCTTGAAGTTTTGGTACTGAAATATTGCTAGCGCTATCGGAGTATTATGTAAAATGCTGCAAATAGGTTACATAAACAACATTCGATTTTCAAAAACGGCACAGTACTGATGAACACATGAACAATTCGTATGATTAGACGTCAAAGTGGGATGGCATGATTCAATAATCGCGAGTGAAAAAGTGACAAACATGAAATAGTGTAACTAATTAGCTACATTTTAATGTATCACTTGCTGAGCGCTTATGACCTATCTACACCTTTTTATAATATCATTGTATGCAAATAAATAAATATGAAATCGTTTTTTCTACCTGATAAAATAGGAATGAATAAAAAAAAATGACGTCGTCTTTTTCTAAAACGTGAACTCTGAATTGTTGAAATTTTTAATTCAACTTGGAATTGTAAATTTAAATAAATTTTATATTGAATGGACGGTATGCTTTTTTTTAAAAACATTATTTCTAAGATTCTTTCTGTCTCACATTTTCTATAAGTAATCGCAGTATTTACAAAACGAATTTATAAAAAACAACGTAGGTAACCTTTAGTGTAAATATTACTTGAACTAAAGACTACATTCAACTTAAAATTAACTTCTTATAAAACGGCAAATTAATCATTTTTGTTATAAATATGAGTTTGTATGTTTGTTTGAATGCACTAATCTTAACGACTACCATACCTAACCATTTATATACCTATAGGAGCAGAGCAGCGGGTGAAATTACTTGAAAATTACAGTTGAGAAATACTTAGAAAACCAGTATCTGTAATCTATACTAATATTATAAAGAGGTCAGATTTTTAACTTTGTAAGTTTGTACGCTGGTATATAGGGGGCAAGTGAAACCCCGCGAGAGTAACTAGTTTCTAATATATCCATTTAATTTTAACGACAATTTGAATGAATCACAAAATAAACCTTTATAATGAGAAGATTTTCTAAGAAGAAGGGAAGACAACGTCTCATGTCAAAACAAGTGGGGTATTTAATACTTTAAAAAAAAATAGAAATAGCAACAAAACGTTTCTAGGAACCGAATTAATGAAAAGCTACTTACTTTAGTTCGCGGGAAATCTCTTTAGTATTTTAATATTAGGAAAGAAAAGAAAACGCCTGAAATCTGGCGGTAACTAAGTCTGAAATAAAGAACTTCTTTGAAGTTTGTAATAAAGTGTAATACGAGATGGACTGAATATAATTCCAATATACAAATGCAAAAGTAATTCTGTCTGTCTGTCTTTTCTTCACGCCTAAACTACTGCACCGATTTCTGTGAAATTTGGTACAGACATATTTTGGAACTCGAGAAAGGACATAGGATAGTTTTTATACCAAAAATCTGCAGGAAGTCACTATTCCATGCGACGGAGTCACGGGCAAAGGATAGTAGGTCACAAATGAGCTCATTAGACTGCAGACTGCAGTGCATCAAGCTATCCCATAAGTCCATTTTCTTTAAGTGATTTGCGACCTTACTGCAATTCAGTAAAATTGAATGTGCATGGAGGTTTTTTTATGGGATAAGTCGCCAACGAGCCGATGGATTACCTGAAGGAAGGCAATCGGCGCCGCTCATGGTCACCCGCAACACCAAAGGAGTCACGATTGCGTTTCCGGCCTTTTGAGGATATTGGATTGGGCCTCCGGTAAAGGCGAAAAACAAAGCTGTGGTTGTTTCTCGTCGGTTTTTTGTGAGCTCGTGGTGTCAGTTCGGTCGAGCCGACCAATTCGTGCCGAAGCTTGGCTCTCCCACACTTATTTTTAAGTACTAACGAATACTTGCTTACGCAAAATTTAGGTATTTACTCTAAAAGCTGACCAAAATTTGTAGCTATTACACTAATAAACTACTTAGTTTGGAAAATACAACAAAATTAATATCTCTTTACCTACCCCTCCGGAGACAAAAAGCCATAAAGCCAATTTTGTTATTGTTGTGGTATTTTCAATCTTATTAACATAATATTTCCATTGAACAATGCGCTTTATAGATATTTCCCTAACCAAGATTTATACCCCGTCTAAGCAGGGATTGCCCTCATTTCATAAAAAGCACGATTCTTTTAATTTATTACCGATTACAGCGGTTCCCATTCAAATCTTAATTGTATTAATTAATCGGACAGGCGGAGTACTCGGCCAAGATTTAATGGTTTTGCTTTTAACATTAATTTATTTAAAAAAAAGTATCGATTCGAGTTTAATGGAAGAGATGCGTACCGTAGTATACATTTCTCAAATAAGTTTCATTATGGATAATATTAACCAAAATAAAAGGGGAAATTATAACTGAGTACAAAAAGACACATCACATTTTTAAACTTCTGCTTATCCCTAAAAACTAAATGTATAAACCCGGTAATCGTTAGTAGTTAAATGCTTTCATTGTTCTATTAAAACTAAAAAGGAACACGTGTAAGCTAACAGCACAGAATGCTGAAAATTTTTCATTTAAAAATTATTTTCCACATTGCGAATCACTTTGTTATTTTCTAGTAATAAAACAATGACTTCCAGTTCAAGTTGTGAGCAAATCCCATTTCACTATCATTTGAATTTAATTTCTCTTTTTCATTACCTTAAGAGGAAAGCTTGAGTGAAACAAGTATTAGGAGACTGAATAACTTGCATTGAAGTCCGTAAGGCTTGCATCCCCGACGTACCGTCAGTAGCATGTTAGGGATCGCCGGCTACAGACGTAGTGCGGTGTAGCTCTGCGATCGCGTTCGTAAACTAAGTATAATAAAGTTCTCTTTTGAACAAATGTACTTTTTGTGAATTAAAATTATTTATAAATAAATAAGTGCATAATTATGGAAATATATAAATAATATAGGTCATAGTTTTAAAAGCAATTTTTGAGTGGTTTAAGTGCACATACTATTTTTTTAAAGTAACATTATGAATTAAAAATGTAACAAAGTTTGAATATTAATATCAAAATTATAATTTACTAAAAAAGTTATAATACTTTTTACAACAAAGAAAAAAAATGCTGGCAACTAATTCCAATTTCAAATAAAGGAAATATCAGAAAATTAAAAAAAAAAATGGCGGAATTTTACCGCGCTAATGAAACATCAGTGCAGTTCTATCAACGATGTACGAATTTATCATATTTCGACTGTTCGGAGGAAGAAATGCTGTGGATTATGATGGGACCTCGGACCTTACCTCTGCAGAAGATTGTTCCTATATCCGTGCTACTGCTGGTGATATTCTTGACCGGAGTTGTGGGCAACGTGGCTGTGTGTGTGGTGATTGTGAAGCACCCAGCCATGCACACTGCTACCAATTATTACCTGTTCAGCTTGGCGTTGAGTGACTTGCTGCTGTTGCTGTTTGGTAAGTAGATTATTAAAAGTATTTTTAATAACTTTGTAGCGACTTTTTCAGTGGGCTTGTCGTTAAGAAACTGTGATGACATATTGTTTTATTTCTAAGTTGCATATAATTTAAAATTTTGAATATCGTGAATAAAATATTTACTTAAAAATCAAACGCTAAACTTTATTGTGACTTTTGCTTTGTAAATTTTGTGGTTTTTTCATGATTTTGTATAAAACAAGATTCAGACAGCAAAGATTTCAATATAATCATTATTATTATGTGTTATGTATTATTTGTAACGGTGAGTATTTTATTGATAACTTTCCCAATATGAAAAAAATACGAGTTGAAAAAATTTTCAATGTCTTTTATTTTTTAATAAAACTAACACAGCTGTCTTTGAAGCGAGAAGACTTTAAAAAACAATTCTATAGTTTAACAACTGACTGCGCGGTTGGCGTAGTGGCTGGGCAATTGATCGCCCGCCGTGTGTCGAGTCACAATAACAGATCCAAAAAACAATCGCTTAAAAAAATTAAAAATATATTCAATATAATTGCTGTTCCGGGTGTGTGTGTGTGTAATTGGGTGCCTGACTTTGAGATACGCCACGATACGCCAGAGAGTTCTAGTGCGGTTCAATGTTTGGAAAAGTTGATAATTATTTTTCTCTCAAACTTTCATAAGCTTGTTCGGGTCGTTAAACTTGAAGCGTTGCATTTGTTTCAAATATTTTAATCTCAACAAACAGACTTAAGGCCGCTCTCTGTGCAAACAAAATATTTTCACATTAAAACTATATTGAAAAAGTTTTCACTTCGATATTGTTTTTGGTAAGAAATCATCCATCAGACAATTAATCTTGGATAGAAACATTGAAAAATGAAATAGAAAATTTTAATGAAATGTACTCAAGTACTTAAGTTACGCTCAAAAATAAAATATAAAATCGCGTTAATTTCGAAGCGGTTGTTTCAGTTACGGCTTACAAAGTCAAGCAATGAAAGTCAAGAATGTTTTAACTATAATAAAGATATTTGCCCAAGAGTCTATAACTTTATCGATTTTATCTATCATCTACTGTGATCATCTACATCATCGTTTTCTTCAAACATTTTAAGCAAATACGTAACCAAATATAATTTAAAATAATATGCAAGAGTACTTTTTCCAAAGAGAAAACAAATAATTACTTAGTGACTGCGGTTTATAATTTTCAAAATTATTGGTACTCCAGGTTTAATGACAACTCACCCCTTACATGCACGACTGAAGGAAGCATGCCTACGCTACATCGTCTGGCTCATGCTCGCCTGTCGATCACTTTTCTGGCACATCGGCAGTTAGCCCTTCGAGCGGTGTGACCTGTCTATCGTCATTCAACTTGCAAATTTAAAAGCTATTTAACTTTATTTGTCAAGTTGTCACATTTGTAGCATAGATTGGAACTCCAAGCATAGCTTTCTCTATCTCTTTTTGGGGAACCTTGAGTCTCATTTTCTAGCCAGAAGTTGGACATTACAGTAAGAGAATCAAAAGTCAAAAAAATCAAAAATCATTCTTTCCAATTAGACCTTTACAGGCACTTTTGAACATCAAACAAAATTTTGAAGATATAGTGTCAGTCGGTCGGTCAGTCCTCTTAGTGAAGCTATTTGCTCGTTCCAAAGTGTAGATTCCGATGGAGAAAAACGAGCAAGAAACTCCATGGTTACTCTTTTTAAATCAGTTTCACATACAGATTCCTTATACAAACAGCAAATCAGAATCAGAATATTTTTTTTTTTTTTTTTTTTTTTTTATTGATTATAGGTTCGCGCTTGACCGCTATCTCACCTGATGGAAAGCGATCGAAAGCAATTTTTTTTACTGTCAAACATAGGTTATTACATTATAAGATCTTTTGGTACATAGTGTTACGACTACGACTGACTGACGTCATGTTTGTGCCATGACAAAGTATCATCTAAATTTGTGTAGTGGTTTTTGAGTAGTGCGCGAGAATAGGTATCCTTCCATTGATTTTTATAATAATTTTGGATTAGTCTTTGGGCCTCAAAATTTCCAATAAACAGAACATAGTGACTTAGATAGTAATCCACTGTATTAAATACAATTTCGCAACGAAGCTCATGATCGATTCAAGTAGTACAGCTTACTTAAAGAAATAATGATTTAATCTAAATTGTAAATCTTTGTAAAGTCAGTCTCCAATTCTTTAACTATTGTGACTGTATCTCCCATCAAAGTCAGTGCTTCTCAAGAATATAAAGATAACTTCAAATCATTTAGCCAACTAATTAAAATTTGCTTATAAGTACATAGTGTTACTGTCACTAAGTTTTAGAAAGACTACACTAATCAGCTGTAAAATCTCTCGTCAAGAGCTAAGTAGTTGTCTAGTTGTGTTATTAAAACCATAGTTAATTAGATTATATTTAGAAAAGTCACGGTGACATTTGGAGTTTGCACTAATGAGACTTGTATTAAAACAGTAACGTCTGTCTAAAGCCTCGCTGTCGTCAAAAAGCTTTGACATTGTCTCCAAAAATTTATGTCCCATCTTTATCCCAAGATTTATCAAAATCAGTTCAGCTGTATAGACATTTAGACGCTAAGTGACAGTTTTATAAGTATAATTTAAAATAATGCGCTTTCTTGGAACTGATCAAAAACTTATTATTTGTAAATTTGAACGTTACTTTATTTTTGTCAATAATTCACCTGATTTAAATTTTAGTCAGATTAAGAAAATTATGTCAATCACTATAAACTGATAAGTTTGTAAAATATTGAAGATTAATATTTTTAACTTCAATTTAAAATTAGATATTTGCATTTGAAGTAGAAAATTAAGAACAAGTAAAAACAATAAAATTAGACAGCTATATCTTTATACCTATAATTACGGTCTCACAGAAAACCAACGTGAAACAACCAAAGACTGTTCATCCGTGTGAGTGAGGTTACCGGAAACTCATTCCTATCCCTCCTCGCATTTCTCTTCAATTCCTAAATCTTCGATACCTCAAAAGGTTAGCAACGCACTCGTAACTGCCCTGGTACTGCGGGTGTCTATAAGTGGTGCCGATTGCTTGCCATCAAGTAATCCGTGCGTTTGTCTATTACGAGTAAAAACTACAATCGTGTATAGTTTTATTTTTGAGATTTGGTTGTTTAGAAATGGGTGATGGAGTCATGATTGGGCATCCCGGTAACCACGCACTCGGCGAAACAGTTTTTCAAGATGTTTTTTGTGATGGTATCATTCTCGTCGAGCTTGAATTTTTCATAAAGTAATCTGATAAAATTTACAACACAAATCAGTAAATACACAATACACACCATATAACAAGGTTTTTTTTCTCTGCAGAATAGGAAAAATCCTCACAATATCTACATTTAATAAAAGAAATAGATCGCTGTTATCAAGTTACATATTGGCACCGAGCGGCGCTCGCGTAGCGTATGAGTTTTACGATACATCTTATAAATAAATGAGATTGAAGAGACAATGTGACGCTTTTCCATGTAAAACAGGCCTTCTGTATTTCTTTTCCACATGAAATGGACAGTCTATATTTTTAGACGGTTCAAATTTAAATACACCCATTTTATTTTAGACCCACGGCCCAATAGGTTTCCTAAACTTACATAGGCGGGCTATATAGTTGGTTAGGTCATCGCTTAAAACAATGCGATATTGTAATTCAGACGTCAATATATTTAATATAACAGGAACCTACACATGTACAATGTGGTCATCGTGTTACACCTACTTTTTACCTTTCTCTTGAAGGGAAAAAATTAACAAATGTCTTCTTTCGCCCAGGGCGAGGCAAGAGTGAGTGTCAGACTTACCGATTAAAGACTCTCCGTTCCCTCTCCTGATCTAGGTCGAGTACGCGCTTCCTTATTGTACTCGGCCCGCAACCCCGGCTGAACATTAGCCCTATAGGGTCCCGTCTGAGGTGGTCTATTGACTCTTTGAGGCGCGCGCGGAACGCTACGCGCTGTACGCATTGTTCGTCCGCGCTTACGGTGGTACCTACATTTTTGTTTGTAATACACACATACATTTTCTTGTAATATTGCGCACAACTTTCAAACCATTACTATAACGAAATCCAATAATACTAATACTTCTCTCGACCCTCAGTTTTTATCATGTTGGGCGAAAAATAAGCAGATCTGATGTTAAGCAACATTTAGCGTATTCGCGCCGACCACCCAATATTTATTTCGTTAGCTCGCTTACGACCACCAAAAAGGCTAATAAATACTATAATTCCCTGTACAAAAGGTTACAAGTAGGAATGAAAGAAACCGCGTTCTTTTAATGGCTCTTAAAGCTTTTTTATTGTAGTACAAGGGAAATTGACTCTTAAAGCCTTAAGGACAAAAAAAAAAAACAAAATGAATCAAAATTTTAATAATTTTGATTCATTTTGTTTTTTTTTGTCCTGTTCTTGACAGTTAGGTAGTTGGTTTTAGGTTTGTGTAGGATGAATACTAATGACGTAGCGCAATATTTTCTGTTAAGTTTGCAACGTTGTGTTTCGCCGTGTGAGTGACGTTACCGAAGGCCCAAACACCCTCTCCCCCCATCCCCTATCCTTAAATAACTGAAATCCTTATCCCTGAAAAGGCCGGCAACGCACTTGTAACTCCTTTGGTGCTGCGGGTGTCCATGGGCGGCGCTGATTGCTTACCATCAGATAATTCGCCTGCTCGTTTTCCGATCCACTCCATAAAAAAAAGTATTTATACTTTTTTATGAAGCTCATAGTTTCACTTTTAAAGACGTTCCTGAAGAGCCATTATTCAAATTAATGTTCTGATTTAGAATTTGAGCAGCATTTTATGTAAGTTACGATTTCTTTTAAAAAGATTCGGTTTTTTAAATGTGTCTTCAGATGATCTGAATTATTGTCATCTTCAGCCAGCATACGACTGTAAAATAATGTGGTTTGTGGTTTTTGGGGTTACAATAATGGGATGTTGTTTTTTCTTTGTTAGGGTAAGATCATCTTTTCTGAATGACTTTTCCCGCCTAGGGTGATGCGAGACGACGTGTGACGAATTCTGTAACAGTATTGTTGAAAAATGTAATAAAACAAGAAAAACAAACAGTAATTTATTTTTAAAAATCTTAAACACATTATTTCAAAGCTTTTCGCACAACTTATCAGTTTAGAAAGACTTTTTAAAAACATCATAATGCCTCACTACGAAGTTTTTAAAAAAGAACCTGGTGGCGACCTCTCGCTCCTCGTCTTAGTCGAGGCCATGGTGCGGAGCGAGAGAAACTGGGCAGCTATGTCCTCTTTCTGTGAAGCAGTCATGCTCGCAACGAAGGAGGCGGACGCGTGAGGGAGCTATCCTCCTCCTCACGCCCCAGCCACCGCAGTCGGCGACACTCCAGGCGTCGGGGATCGAAAGACGATCTCCGGCCACCGGAAGCGCGGGTCTGCGGACGGCGAGTAAGGGTAGCTCGCCGCCCGACCAAAACCAGACCCGAGCGTACGGCGCGTAGCAGCATGATAATTTTTTTTTATTATAACGTAAGTATACAACAAAACAGATACTATGACATGTCTAATCCCAATTAGTGTCGTCACAAATGGTATACCTTGTTTGAACTTGTTCCCTTATTTCAGAAGACTAACATGTTGTTATTATTTTGTGTTTTTACGGTAAAGAGTAGATATCTGCTTATGATTTAGTGTGTTTTAGTAAAAAAAAAAATAGTCATTTTATTGTTTTAATATTTCAATCGTGGTAATTCGAGACACAATAAAAAATAATAGGTGCGCGAACGCCGGCGTTCGCTTGTTATAGTGATACCATGGCCTCACAGAAAAGTAAGGAACAACGCTTGCCTTGTGTAAGTGTAAGTGAAGATACTGGACAAATGGAGGCCTCATCCTTACCAACCTACCCCTAACCCCCAAATCCCTAAACACAGGAAAAGTCGACAACGCACATACATCTAGATGTTGTGGGTGTCTATGGGCGGCGCTGATTGCTTACCATCAGGTAATCTTTTTGCGGTTTGCTGTTCTATCACATAAAAAATATTATTCATTGTAATGGACGGTAATAAACTGTACTCTACCTACGTAAGTATACATAGATCTAGTGAAAAAGTTATTTAACAATGTTAGGCTTTAAATATTACACGAAAAAGTTTCATTAGGTACATAATTCAAACGCTTAATGATTCCAAAACTTTATAACCTCTTAAGCTTCTGTACGATTTTTGTAACTTGACCATTAGCCAACAATAATTACAGTCTTTTAATTTTAATTAAAAACTTGGTTTAAGGTACCTTGTTATGACCTATTTTTAATGGGGAAAATTAAAAGAATCGCGTGACTATACAATGTACATTAAAATGATGGTTACGATAAAAAATATGGTATTTTTAATTCTACTTTGTATTAGAGTCCATTAATTAATTTTGATGGTATTTACCTGTATATTTTTAGGCAATCGAAGATAGCCAACCTTGGATGTGATTCTGTAAGACTTCATTCTAAACTTCGAATCTGAATCCGCTGTGAGTAGTAGTACACTAGCGCTAAACTTGCGAGTTGAACTAAATTGACATATTGATAGATAACGTATGAGATGACGTTAAAAGTGGCATTCTAAAATTTAATTACCCCGTCACTTCGACACCATTTCGCACTCGAACAAGATTCAAAATCAAACAAATTTTATAGAATCGACGTGCTTAACTTTTTTGTTAGGGAAAAACCATCAAGTAGTATCTCAGACTCTTTGTGACTAAAAAGTAACCCGATCCTTCTCATTACATCATTATGAATACATCCGCGAACCTGGCTAGAATGCGGAATTTAAAGTTACGATACATTTTTTTTTAAATAATTGGAGCAATGATAAATATTTAGCTTTGTGGCTATATTGTCTGAAATAGTGCTGAAAATCCCCGGGAACACACAATGAGCTTATATTTTATTATAGTATATAGTCAGTCAGAAGCTAAGGCAATGCAGTTATCGAGTCTCCCTTCCTTTAATTTCACGAAGTTTGAGATATTGTCGATGGAAACTTATGTGAGAAGGATATGGTTATTATTTTTAACGACTTTAATAAAGATTTAAAAAAACTAGGGGTTTCCGACGATCCTGGCCCCGGGCGTAGGTTACCTACCTCTGCCTATTGGTTAGTTCAGCCCTGTCAATACTTTGGGCACGCTATTATCCGCAATAAGGTACCGGGGCCGCAGTCTAGAGCATTAGAAAGAATAGGGTAGTTCTTAGACAATAAGGGTCTGACTCGCCTCACCCTGGGCGAAAGAAGTCAAATGATTACTTTGTCCCTCAAAAACTAAACCCTGTTAATACTGATATGTTCGGAAAGTGAGACGGAGCTTCAAGTCAACATCGACTTGGGTGTATTCGAAATGTGCGTTGGCAACATTATGACACACTAATAGACAAGTGACAACTTCTTTTTAACTTCTTTTAAATAAACGTTGCCTCACATTAGATTTTTCCCTGTGTCGTGGGTGCGGTTGCAAACATACAATTTCACTTACACATGACACCCAGACCCGGAACAACAATTTATGGATCACACAGAGTTGTTCCGTGCGGGAACCCGCGACACGTTGTACGGCAGCCAGTTGCCCAGCCACCGCACCAACCGTGTAGTTAGTACAACTGTCCCTAAGGTCAATCGCTTTTGTCGATTTACCCGCATTTCGCAACGAGTAACCGAACCGAGCAGTTGTGCCGATGTACGACCGACTTCATCGCGTTCCGTAGTCCGCTTACAACTTGGCATTGTTTGAATTTTATCCATGTTAAAACACTATTTCAATAATAAATCAAGAGATACGTGATAAGCTTTATTTCATTTAATTTGAAGCGAGTGAAGAGGAACGCCCTCCTAACCGTCCGAACCTCCCCGTCCGATGAATGTATCCAAGTTGTAATATGAGATACACTGAAAATATTCAAATAGGTATTTCAGTATCAAAATATGTATAATTGTATAATTAACAAAGTTCCTTAAATCAAACAAGTGTTAAGTTTCAGTAATTAGCTAACAGACTACCATGTTGATTTTAGCTCGCGTACCTACTCCTCCTACTTATATTTGTATATGAGGCTGTGTTTTTACGTAAATATGCTTGTGAAATAATAAGGTATTTCGAGTTACCTTTCTTGCTAGGGAAATGGTTGGAAAAGTGACTATTGAGTTTGAGATTTTGAGTTTAGATCGACATATATTCTCGCAACTGATGAATATTGGGACACTAACATCATCATCATCATCAGCCTATAAGTGCCTATTGCTGAGCAAAGACTTCTTCCCACAAGAAGGTTTGAGCATTAATCACCACGCTTGCTCAGCGCTGATTGGCAATTTCAAAACTTATAATTAGAAATTACAAGTCCAGAACGTCGATTCTATAAAATTTGTTTGATGTTGAATCTTGTTCGAGTGTGAAGTGAGCGCTTTTTAACGTCATCTCATACTTTATCTATCAAAATGTTGTCAATTTAGTTCAACTCGCAAGTGTAGCTCTAGTGTACTACTACACACAGCGGATTCAGGATTCGAAGTTCAGAATGAAATCTTACAGAATCACACTGCATGTCTCCTCACGATGTTTTCCTTCACCGTATGTCAGTGGTGTCTAAATAATAATTGAAAGTACATTTAACTCGGATAAAGTCACATTGGTACTTGCCAGGTTTGCCTTAACCTCTGGGCCACCATGACGTTTGACACTTAAAAAAAAGGTTGTACAAAAATATTATGAGAATTCTCTATGATACTCACCTTTTGATGGACAACAAAGCGGAATTGTATTTCTAAATTAGTCACAGATGGATTATTTATTTAGAGTTAAGTTTATTGGGGTCTGTTCTAAATTCTTAGAACGCAGCCTGTGTCTCATAAAATTGGGTTAACCGCAACATTTGTAATAAACATAGAACTATGTTACTGTCCCTTTACTAAGCTCTGGAGCTCTTGAGCTGTTTTAGGAAATTTAGGAATACTAGGACACTAGGACATCTTAATTAGTATTCGTAATTCCGAGTAGCTAAGTAGAGACACGCTTTATACATTTTGCATCTTCTCAGAAGATTCACCCGCTTATGGTATAGAATTATGAGTTTTTTTTTTCTATGTAATAGGTCGG